AATAGGATATTGCCTATATATGAGGAGTATAGTCGAAGTAATAATGTCCAGTTTGGTCAAGATGTCTTTAAAACTAAAATGTTTTTTCTTACAACGTTATTTTCGAGCCCTCGTTCCTATGGCAGATCAGATCTAAATCTGATTTCGCCTATATGTGATGAGTATAGTAAAATAAATGCCGAGCTTAGTCAACATATCTTGAAAAACAAAATGTTTTTTTATATAACTTAATTATCGACCGATCGTTGCTATGCCAGCAATATGATATAGTGGTCCGATATTAATATGATTTTGCCTATATATGGGGAGTATAGTAAAACTATTAAATGCCAGGTTTGGACAAAATATCTTAAAAAACAAAATATTTTTTCATACAACATAATATTCGACCGATCGTTCCTATGGCAGCTTTATGATATAGTGCTCCGATCTTAATTGGATTTCCCCTATATATGAGGAGTATATCAAAACTAATAAATGCCGAGTTTGTTCAAAATATCTTGAAAAACAAAATGTTTTTTCATACAACTTTATTTTCGACCGCTCGTTCCTAAGGCAGCAATATGATATAGTGGTCCGATCTTATTATGATTTCGCCTATATGAAAGGAGTATAGTCAAACTAATCTATGCCGAGGTTGGTAAAGATATCTTGAAAAACAATATGTTTTTTCATACAACTTAGTTATCAACCGATCGGTCCTAAGGCAGCTATATGATATAGTGCTCCGAACTTAATATGATTTCGCCTATATGTGAGGAGTATAGCAATTCCAATAGATATCTTGAAAAACAAAATGTTTTCTTCAAACAACATAATATTCAACCTATGGCAGTTATATGATTTAGTGCTCCGATCTAAATATGATTACGCCTCTATATGAGGAGTATATCAAAACTAATAAATGCCGAGTTTGTACAAGAGATCTTGAAAACAAAATGTTTTTTCATACAACATAATTTTCGACCGATCGGTGCTATGACAGCTATATGATATAGTGCTTTGATCGTAATAGGATATTGCCTATATATGAGTATAGTCAAAGTAATAAATATCGAGTTTGGTCAAGATATCTTGAAAACAAAAAGTTTACAACTTTATTTTCGAGCGCTCGTTCCTATGGCAGCTATATGATATTGTGGTCCGATCTTAATATGATTTCGCCTATATGTGAGGAGTATAGCAAAACTAATAAATGCCGAGTTTGGTCAAGATATCTTGAGAAACAAAATTTTTTTTCATACAACATAATTTTCGACCGATCGTTCCTATGGCAGCTATATGATATAGTGGTCCGATCTTAATTGGATTTCCCCTATATATGAGGAGTATATCAAAACTAATAAATGCCGAGTTTGTTCAAAATATCTTGAAAAACAAAATGTTTTTTCAAACAGCTTTATTTTCGACCGCTCGTTCCTAAGGCAGCAATATGATATAGTGGTCCGATCTTAATATGATTTCGCCTATATGAAAGGAGTATAGTCAAACTAATATATGCCGAGGTTGTTTTTTGTTTTTTCATACAACGTAGTTATCAACCGATCGTTCCTAAGGCAGCTATATGATATAGTGGTCCGATCTTAAAATGACTTTGTGTATATATGAGGAGTATAGCAACACTTATAATAGCCGAGTTTGGTTAAGATATCTTAAAAAACCAAAGGTTTTTTCCTACAAAGTAATTTTCGACCGATCGTTGCTATGGCAGTTATATGATATAGTGCTCCGATCCTAATAGGATTTCGCCTTTATCTGAGGAGTTTTATAAAAATAATAAATGGTCAAGATATCTTGAGAAACAAAATGTTTTTTCATACAACTTAATTATCGACCGATCGGTCCTATGGCAACTATATGATATAGTGGTCCGATCTTAATATAATTTCGCCATGGTTAAGCTCAACCATATCTGATATTGAGATTTTACCGAATAACTTTAGTTTGTTTAGAAATGATCGGCCGACTCGAGGTGGTGGGGTGTTAATTGCCGTTAAAGCCACTCTCCAGTCTGAACTATTTTGTTTTAGTATGCCTACTGACGCTGAGATTGTCTCAGTTAAGGTGTCTTTGCCTTTTCTTCTGATATTCAAGTTTATATGAATCATTTTACTTATATTAAAGAAGTTTCTTCACACGTGCGTGATAATGATCTATTATTGGTGTTGGGTGATTTTAATTTGCCGAACATCTCTTGGTCATTATTCACTGCTGAAAATTATCTAGTGCCCACAGCACAGCACGATTTAATAGACTGCATGCTTGATCTTTCGTTGTTTCAAATCAATTCAATATCTAATCATATGAATAAAACACTTGACCTTGTATTTGTTAACGAATACCTTATTTCCAATGTGTCTAGGTCCCCTCCTTTATCTCTTCCTGAGGATGTCTATCATCCAACTTTAGAGATTACAATGCTAAATGGTAATCCTTTCATTTCGTGCTCATCAGCCAGTAAGCCCCGCTATTGCTTTCGCAAGGAAATTATTCTTTGCTGAATCAGCTTATTTATTCAACCGATTGGTCTTTCTTATATGACTCAGTTGATATGAATACAGCCATTAATTTACTTATATATCACCCTAAACTCCCTCTTAGATGCGTGTATTCCTAAGTCAATTCCTTCGACTACTTTTGCAAAACCACCCTGGTTTAATCCCAGATTATCACATCTAAAAAATGTAAAATCCAAATATTTTAAAAAGTTTAAAAAGTCTGGTTCGTGTACAGACTTGGCTAAATATTCCATAGCGAAGTCGAACTTCTTTCTTTTTAATTCTCAATGCTATGAGAATTATCTAATTCGTTGTAAAAGGCAATTCGCCCGAAATCCGAGACAGTTTTATAATTTTGTAAACTTGAAGCGTAAATCTTCAAGTTTGCCATCTTCTTTTTTTTTGGCATTATTTGACACTCCTCTCTCCTATTAGCTATAAACTCTTTAAAATCTTCTTACTCTCCTGGGCCGGACAATATTCCCCAGTTGTCTTTTTATCCATTGCTAAAGCTTTTTAATCTATCCCTTGAAACTTCTGTCTTTCCATCTCTTTGGAAAGAATCTTATATCATTCCTCTTCACAAGAAAGGTGGGAAGTCTGATATACAAAATTACAGGGGCATTGCAAAACTGACCGCTATTCCTAAATTATTTGAAAAAATAATCACTTCGAATTTGCAGCATTGCTGCAAATCAGTTGTTTCCCCTGTTCAACATGGATTCGTAAAGAATCGGTCAACTACGACCAATCTGCTTGAGTTTACTTCCTTGGTAAATGATGCTTTCCTTTCGATAATGCAAACTGATGTCATTTACACTGACTTCAGTAAGGCGTTTGACTCTGCGCGCCATGACATTTTACTTTTAAAACTTGGCCGAATAGGTTTCCCTTTGTCCCTTTTACTTTGGATTAATTCTTATTTAAAAGGTAGGACCCAAAGAGTAATACTGAGGTTGACTACCTCTAAAAGGGTTTACGTTACTTCTGGTGTTCCTCAAGGTAGTCATCTTGGACCTTTACTCTTTACTCTTTTTATAAATGATCTTCCCTCTGTTATATCACATGCCCGTGTACTTATGTATGCGGACGATGCCAAACATTTTCTATCATACACTAACCCCCTACATCATTCTCGTCTACAAGACGATTTGAACGCTATGCAACTTTGGTGTTCGGCCAATCATTTGCATCTAAATTGTTCAAAGTATATGCCTATGACATTTAATCGTACTGCACCTTATCTTGTCACTTATACAATCGATAATATCCCTTTGCAACGTATACCAACAGTTTAGGATCTAGGCGTTATTTTTGATTCTATGCTCTGTTTCAATCTTCACATAGATACCATTGTTAATGAGGCAAAAGGTGTACTTGGATTCATTAAACGATGGTCTAAAGAGTTTAACGATCCTTTTATAACAAAACTTCTGTACGTCTCTCTTGTTCGCCCTATCCTTGAATACTGCTCTTGCATCTGGTCTCCACAGTATAACAACAGCCAGGATCGTATTGAATCTGTTCAGAAGCAATTTCTGCTTTTTGCCTTACGAGGTTTAAATTGGGACCCTAATCTTCGGTTGCCGTCCTACTCCAGTAGACTGCTTCTTCTTAACCTTCCGTCGTTAACCAACCGTAGGACAATTCTCGGTGTTGTCCTTCTACATAAGTTGATTATTGACGACATAGATTCTCCTTTTCTGCAAGGCCGTCTTCAATTCTCTGTTCCGGCTAGACCAACCAGAAATTATCGCCCCTTATTACTATCTACGTGCACAACAGATTACGCTATGCACAATCCTTTTCGCGTGCTATGTAAAAATTATAATAGTTTGCATCACGTTTTCTCTACCGAACTGTCTCTACCCCTAATAAAATCGTTGTTTTCAGGATACCTTCGGGTAGTCGCTGACCATTCCCAGCTATGAGCAGGGGCATAGCTTGCCGGACAGGCTCAAAAAATTTCCCCCTGTGTCCTATCTACTTAACACTCTTTATTTAACTTACATTGCTTTACTTTATTAACAACCTTCTTACTTTCTTTTTTTCTATGTATTGTTTTTTCTTTATTAATATAGCAAATTAAGATTATTTTTTATTTTCCTTGATATCACCTTTTTCGTACTTACAACCTTCTGCTCAGATGTAGGCTCTAATAGCGTCACTGACATGATTAGCTGTGAAAAGGGGCACAGCTGGCCGGACTGGCAAATAAAACACCTCCATCGGTCGGTGATGCCATTTAGAAAATTGTATCCTTTAACTAGGCTTTAAGCATATAATTCTATTGTACAATCTTTTGATTAATGAGGAAGACACTCTTTTTGTCGACCATTAATGAAAAATTAAATAGAAAAAAAAAAAGATATACAAATAAATAGTGGTCCGATTTTAATATGATTTCGCCTATATGTGAAGAGTATAGTAAAACTGATAAATGCCGAGTTTGGTCAAGATATCTTGAAAAGCAAAATGTTTTTTCTTATACCAGAAAATTTTCGATCGATCGGCGCAGCCGGGCAGACAACAAACGAGACCAGCGCCGCTGCAGCCACCGCCACTGCGAAGAGGAATGGCAGCAGTTCACCGGGCAGCAAGGTGCCCAACAACAAGCACATCATACCAGCTGATTCGATTAGCGTTAATAAGCAGCTGGGCATCGGGGAGTTCGGCATTGTGCAGCAGGGCGTCTGGACGAATGGCAGCGAGCGGATTCAAGTGGCCATCAAGTGCCTGTGCAGCGAACGCATGCAATCGAATCCCATGGAATTTCTCAAGGAGGTAGCCATAATGCATTCGATCGAGCACGAGAACATTGTGCGCCTGTACGGCGTGGTTCTGGCAACTGATTCGCTGATGCTTGTTACGGAACTGGCGCACCTTCGTTCCTTACTCGAGTGCCTTAAGGATTCCGGGTTGCGTGTCAGCTTTCTCACGATACCCACGCTCTGTGAGTTCGCGCTGCAGATGCATGCAACGGCATGCGCTATCTGGAGCAGAAGCGACTCATACACAGGGATTTGGCTGCACGGAATATTCTGGTATTTAGCAAGGATAAGGTGAAAATCTCGGACTTTGGGCTGTCGCGTGCGCTGGGTGTGGGCAAGGACTATTACAAGATGAACTTCAATGTGAATCTAAAGCTGCCGATTGCCTGGTATGCGCCCGAATGCATCAATTACTTGCGATTTACCAACGCTTCCGATGTGTGGGCCTTTGGCGTTTGCCTCTGGGAGATGTTCTCCTATGGCTTTCAGCCCTGGGCGGCACTGACTGGTCTGCAGATACTGGAGGCCATCGATGCACCGAATTATCAGCGCCTCGAGCAGCCGGACTGCTGTCCCCGAGAGTATTACACGTTGATGATGAAGTGCTGGCAGGACGATGCGGCCAAGCGGCCCAAGTTTAGTGAAATCTATGAACAGCTGCCCGATATGAAGCCCGAGCAGCTCAAGGCCGTCGTCAATTGCGTGGAACCGAAGAAAGATCATCTGCTGTATCGCCAGGGTGATATAATAAGCGTGCTTGATCGCAATACGGGTACGCCTTTCTGGAAAGGCGTTTTGGGTACTGGAAAGACTGGATACTTCAATCCCTCGAACACGCAAGCGTAAGTTGCGCACGGAAATGATTTCGAAGCCGCAGAATGGCTTTAAGCACACCGGACATGTGGGTATCGATGGCGCTACCTTTGGCGATATCGCCTTCCTCGGCAGCTCCCAAAATTACAATCATGTGCCGAAGCAGATTGTGACGCCCTACAAGCCGTCGGAGGATATAGAGCAGACGCCCCTGCTGCTGCCGCCGACGCCCACCAGTCCGGATTCGCTACAAACGGCTAGCGGTTATTTTCCGGAAGGCGGTGGCACTTCAATGAATCCCACATTTATTCCCTCTACGGAGCACACGCCCAACTTGATACCCAGCAATGGACACAGCTCATTTGACTTTACCGGCTCCACAAATCCCTTTGCCTCGCACAAACTGGACGAGGAGCAGCTCGCCTATGCGCTACAGAACAACAACTATGGCGCCGATGGCAAGAGCATCCACTCAGAACCCAACTGGCGCGCCAGTTCCCGCAACACGACCGACGATCCACACGAGTATCACGAGATATCCGACGATGAGATCGCTGGCGATAAGCTGGACTTTGGGCCCTCGCTGCTGGACGAAATCAACTCAATGTTTGAATCAATCAGCGGAACCCAATCAACCTCTGGAACCCAGCCAAACGCCCGATTTCGATCATGTGAACACAAAAAATGAATTCGCTGAGATGTCGGCCAAGTTTAGCCACAAAACTGGCGACAGCAATGGCAACAAGCACGGCCATGGACACGGTCATGGACTTCTGTCCAAAAAGAAGACATCGACGGGCACTGTGAAGCCCATTTCGGTCAAGGATGAGAAAATACTGAATCATGCCATCGAAATTGCCAACGAGATTAGCGCCAGCTCCATGATTGATTTGGTATCTGATCATACGCCAGCCCCGCACAGTCCCAAGCGCAAGTTCAGCTTTCGTTTTCCGCATTTGAGCAGCGGCGGCGGCGGCGGAGATAAGTCAAGTGGCGTTTTAGGTGGCGCTGCTGGCGGCTCTGGGCTCACACCTACGCATGGCAATGCCTCGCCCTTCTCCAAGAAGAAGAACTTTACAGAGGAGCTGCAAAGCATACCCGATATACAGTCCCTGATTGGCGAGGAGGGTCGCGAGGCCTACAACAGCCTGATCGAGCGCAAGGGCATGCTGGACATTGGCTCCAGTCCGGCTGCAACGCTGCTCCGCCACATGGACACGGACGAGTTTGAGCTGATGAGCTCGAAGACGCTGCCACGTCGCCTGGGCAGTCAGTTGAGTCATCCGGGCACTGCCGCTGCCCTTACCCTGGAGCCAGCCCTTGCCGCTGCGGAGTGCGCCCGTCCTTTGCAGCAGCTGCAGCCACCGCGACCCATGACATTGCCCACACGTGGCGCGGCTCAGCGTGTGCGCCGGGCCGAGCATGCGAACGGGGAGCGGCCAAATGATGAGAATCGCAACTCGCTGGGGGCCAACGAATCCTGCGAGAGTCCCAGCTACATGACACACGCCAGCTACAAGTTCCCAGAGCCGCATTAGGCGAATCCGCTGCCACTGCCTTCACGCGAGGGCAAAAAACAAGTGAAGACAAGCGCCAAACGGCACGTCCGCAAATATCCGCTCATAATCCCGATTAACGGCGTGCAGCGCACTCTCAGCAAGCTGGCGGACTTTGGCGAGGAGGCGGCCAGCAAAGCTAGCGACGCATCGCCGCAACAGCAGCAGCAGCAGGCGCGTTCCATAGAGGTGGTGGCGGCCGTGCGCACCAGTAGCGTGCGTCGTCGGCCCGAGGCCAGCGAATATGAGAACATGCCTACCCTGGCAGGCGGAGCATCGGCACATACCTACCAGAACCTGGACAAACTGGCGCCTGCCGATGCAGCTGGGCTGACAGACAGCGCCTCGTTGCAGTTCGAGTCCATACTGGAGGCGGACATGAGCAAAGAGGGTGTGCTCCAATCGCCGGACGTGACCAATGGCTTCTACAACTTCTCAATACAGAAGGAACACTACAACAAGAGCAAGGATGTTGGCTTCGAACCTGCCCAAATCTCGGGGCTCTATGTCAACGACGATGAGTTGCGCAATCTGGACAAACCGCTGGCCGCCAGCAGCAGCTCAACCACATTGGACTCCGCAGCAGTTCCTCAGGAGATGGCACCAACGGCAGCCTCCGCGGTGGCAGCAGCAGCAGCAGCGGCGGTGGCTGCAGCAACCACTGCTGCAGAAGATGCGCCTTTGGAGAGCATCAATACGCGCCGCTTGGGCAGCGTGGACAATGAGTTGGCGGGCAATGCGCTCTTCAAAAAGGTGCGTGCTTCCGTTAACCAGGCCATGAACCGCAACTCCATTAATGGCAAGGATGCGAACAATACGACGGCAGCTTTGGCCAATGGTCCCGCGTCCAAGTTACAAACGGAGGCAGAATATTTTGCAGCTACCGCGGCTCGCCTGGCCGACTCCAACTCCGTGAGCTGTGAGGATTTGCTCGAGTTTTCCGACAAGAAGCCGCGCGGCTGTGAACGCGGCGTCGACTCGGATGAAGTGCGCATCATGGTCAAAGTGCTGAGAAAGGACAGCACGCCCACACGTTGTCTGGGCGCACTGGAGTTCATCAACTGGGATGTTCACAAGTCCATTAAACTGATTAAGCTGCAGAATATACTCGCCGAGGCGAATCTGAGCCTGTCCGCTGCGTACGAGGCGCTTCAGCAGCAGGAATGGGATCTGCACACCACGGCCGTCAAACTGAAGGGAGTTAAGCTCTAAATGATGCGCATGTAGATAGAGCTATATATGCATACGTATACCTACAAACATCCTTTGGGCCTTATTATTTGTGTCTTAAGCATTTAAAGTTCGCTGCGGATATTACATTATCCTTTATTATTTAATACTATAGTGAATAGGACATCTCTAACTCGAACTCAATCACTGCTCAAAATATGTTTCTAATGTAATTCATACTCCTCTCCTATTGTATGAATGAATCTCAGCATGTACTTATCTAATAATGCAATGTTTCTAGTTCTTAATTATACTATGTTATCCTTTATCGCCAGTTTCGCACGCAATCTAAAATATCTGAAGGTTCGAGTACCATGTATACAATTAATACATCTTACAAAATCATGTTTGGCTATGTTAGACTTTGTACATGGCAGCTATTTGATATAGTGCTTTGATCTTAATAGGATATTGCCTATATATGAGGAGTATAGTCGAAGTAATAATGTCCAGTTTGGTCAAGATGTCTTTAAAACTAAAATGTTTTTTCTTACAACGTTATTTTCGAGCCCTCGTTCCTATGGCAGATCAGATCTAAATCTGATTTCGCCTATATGTGATGAGTATAGTAAAATAAATGCCGAGCTTAGTCAACATATCTTGAAAAACAAAATGTTTTTTTATATAACTTAATTATCGACCGATCGTTGCTATGCCAGCAATATGATATAGTGGTCCGATATTAATATGATTTTGCCTATATATGGGGAGTATAGTAAAACTATTAAATGCCAGGTTTGGTCAAAATATCTTAAAAAAACAAAATATTTTTTCATACAACATAATATTCGACCGATCGTTCCTATGGCAGCTTTATGATATAGTGCTCCGATCTTAATTGGATTTCCCCTATATATGAGGAGTATATCAAAACTAATAAATGCCGAGTTTGTTCAAAATATCTTGAAAAACAAAATGTTTTTTCATACAACTTTATTTTCGACCGCTCGTTCCTAAGGCAGCAATATGATATAGTGGTCCGATCTTATTATGATTTCGCCTATATGAAAGGAGTATAGTCAAACTAATCTATGCCGAGGTTGGTAAAGATATCTTGAAAAACAATATGTTTTTTCATACAACGTAGTTATCAACCGATCGGTCCTAAGGCAGCTATATGATATAGTGCTCCGAACTTAATATGATTTCGCCTATATGTGAGGAGTATAGCAATTCCAATAGATATCTTGAAAAACAAAATGTTTTCTTCAAACAACATAATATTCAACCTATGGCAGTTATATGATTTAGTGCTCCGATCTAAATATGATTACGCCTCTATATGAGGAGTATATCAAAACTAATAAATGCCGAGTTTGTACAAGAGATCTTGAAAACAAAATGTTTTTTCATACAACATAATTTTCGACCGATCGGTGCTATGACAGCTATATGATATAGTGCTTTGATCGTAATAGGATATTGCCTATATATGAGTATAGTCAAAGTAATAAATATCGAGTTTGGTCAAGATATCTTGAAAACAAAAAGTTTACAACTTTATTTTCGAGCGCTCGTTCCTATGGCAGCTATATGATATTGTGGTCCGATCTTAATATGATTTCGCCTATATGTGAGGAGTATAGCAAAACTAATAAATGCCGAGTTTGGTCAAGATATCTTGAGAAACAAAATTTTTTTTCATACAACATAATTTTCGACCGATCGTTCCTATGGCAGCTATATGATATAGTGGTCCGATCTTAATTGGATTTCCCCTATATATGAGGAGTATATCAAAACTAATAAATGCCGAGTTTGTTCAAAATATCTTGAAAAACAAAATGTTTTTTCAAACAGCTTTATTTTCGACCGCTCGTTCCTAAGGCAGCAATATGATATAGTGGTCCGATCTTAATATGATTTCGCCTATATGAAAGGAGTATAGTCAAACTAATATATGCCGAGGTTGTTTTTTGTTTTTTCATACAACGTAGTTATCAACCGATCGTTCCTAAGGCAGCTATATGATATAGTGGTCCGATCTTAAAATGACTTTGTGTATATATGAGGAGTATAGCAACACTTATAATAGCCGAGTTTGGTTAAGATATCTTAAAAAACCAAAGGTTTTTTCCTACAAAGTAATTTTCGACCGATCGTTGCTATGGCAGTTATATGATATAGTGCTCCGATCCTAATAGGATTTCGCCTTTATCTGAGGAGTTTTATAAAAATAATAAATGGTCAAGATATCTTGAGAAACAAAATGTTTTTTCATACAACTTAATTATCGACCGATCGGTCCTATGGCAACTATATGATATAGTGGTCCGATCTTAATATAATTTCGCCTATATGTGAGGAGTATAGTAGATCTAATAAATGCCGAGTTTGGTCAAGATATCTTAAAAAACAAAATGTTTTTTTATACAAGAATATTTTCGATCGATCGTTCCTATGGCAGCTATTTGATGTAGTGCTTCGATCTTAATAGGATATTGCCTATATATGGAGTATGGTCAAACTAATAAATGTCGAGTTTGGTCAAGATATCTTGAAAATCAAAATGTCTTTTTATACAACGTTATTTTCGACCGCTCGCTCCTATGGCAGCTATATGATATAGTGAGCCTATCTAAAAATGATTTCGCCTATAAGTGAGGAGTATAGTAAAATAAATGCCGAGTTTAGTCAAGATATCTTGAAAAACAAATTTTTTTTTTCATAGAACATAATTTTCGACCGATCGTTTCTATGGCAGCTGTATGATATAGTGCTCCGAACTTAATATGATTTCGCCTATATGTGAGGAGTATAGCAAACCCAATAGATATCTTGAAAAACAAAATGTTTTCTTCATACAACATAATATTCAACCGATCGTCCCTATGACAGTTATATGATATAGCGCTCCGATCTAAATATGATTTCGCCCCTATATGAGGAGTATATCAAAACTAATAAATGCCGAGTTTTTACAAGAGATCTTGAAAAACAAAATGTTTTTTCATACAACATAATTTTCGACCGCACGCTCCTATGGCAGATATATGATATAGTGGGCCGATCTAAATATGATTTCGCCTATACCGACCGATCGGTGCTATGGCAGCTATATGATGTGCTTCGATCTTAATAGGATATGAGGAGTATAGACAAACTAATAAATGTCGAGTTTGGTCAAGATATCTTGAAAACCAGAATGTTTTTTCATACAACTTGATTTAAGACCGCTTGTTCCTATGGCAGCAATATGATATAGTGCTCCGATCTTAATATGATTTCGCCTATATGTGAGGAGTATAGCAAAACTAATAAATGCCGAGTTTGGTCAAGATATCTTGAGAAACAAAATGTTTTTTCATACAACTTAATTATCGACCGATCGGTCCTATGGCAACTATATGATATAGTGGTCCGATCTTAATATAATTTCGCCTATATGTGAGGAGTATAGCAAAACTAATAAATTTCGAGTTTGGTGAAGATATCTTGAAAAACAAAATGTTTTTTATACAACTTTATTTTCGAGCGCTCGTTCTTATGGCAGCTATATGATATAGTGGTCCGATCTTAATATGATTTCGCCTATATGTCAGGAGTATAGCAAAACTAATAAATGCCGCGTTTGGTCAAGATATCTTGAGAAACAAAATGTTTTTTTATACAAGAATATTTTCGATGGAATGTTCCTATGGCAGCTATTTGATATAGTGCTTCGATCTTAATAGAATATTGCCTATATGTGGGGAGTATAGTCAAACTAATAAATGTCGAGTTTGGTCAAGATATCTTGAAAACGAAAATGTTTTTTCATACAACGTTATTTTCGACCGCTCGCTCCTATGGCAGCTATATGATATAGTGGGCCGATCTAATTATGATTTCGCCTATACTGACCGATCGGTGCTATGACAGCTGTATGATATAGTGCTCCGATCTTAATGGGATATTGCCTTTATATGAGGAGTATAGACAAACTAATAAATGTCGAGTTTGGTCAAGATATCTTGAAAACCAGAATGTTTTTTCATACAACTTGATTTAAGACCGCTTGTTCCTATGGCAGCAATATGATATAGTGGTCCGATCTTAATATGATTTCGCCTATATGTGAGGAGTATAGTGAAAATAATAAATGCCGAGTTTGGGCAAGATTTCTTGAAAAACGAAATGTTTTTTCATACAACGTAGATATCGACCGATCGTTCCTAAGGCAGCTAAATGATATAGTGGTCCGATCTTAATATAATTTCGCCTATATGTGAGGAGTATAGCAAAACTAATAAATGTCGAGTTTGGTGAAGATATCTTGAAAAACAAAACGTTTTTTATACAACTTTATTTTCGAGCGCTCGTTCTTATGGCAGCTATATGATATAGTGGTCCGATCTTAATATGATTTCGCCTATATGTGAGGAGTATAGCAAAACTAATAAATGCCGCGTTTGGTAAAGATATCTTGAGAAACAAAATGTTTTTTTATACAAGAATATTTTCGATGGAACGTTCCTATGGCAGCTATTTGATATAGTGCTTCGATCTTAATAGAATATTGCCTATATATGGGGAGTATAGTCAAGCTAATAAATGTCGAGTTTGGTCAAGATATCTTGAAAACGAAAATGTTTTTTCATACAACGTTATTTTCGACCGCTCGCTCCTATGGCAGCTATATGATATAGTGGGCCGATCTAATTATGATTTCGCATATACTGACCGATCGGTGCTATGACAGCTGTATGAGTATAGACAAACTAATAAATGTCGAGGTTGGTCAAGATATCTTGAAAACCAGAATGTTTTTTCATACAACTTGATTTAAGACCGCTTGTTCCTATGGCAGCAATATGATATAGTGCTCCGATCTTAATATGATTTCGCCTATATGTGAGGAGTATAGCAAAACTAATAAATGCCGAGTTTGGTCAAGATATCTTGAGAAACAAAATGTTTTTTCATACAACTTAATTTTTGATCGATCGGTCCAATGGCAGCTGTATGATATATTGGTCCGATCTTAAGATGATATTGCCTATATATGAGGAATATTGTAACACTAATAAATGTCCAGTTTGGTCAAGATATCTTGAAAAACAAAATGTTTTTTTATACAAGAATATTTTCGATGGATCGTTCCTATGGCAGCTATTTGATATAGTGCTTTTATCTTAATAGGATATTGCCTATATATGAGGAGTATAGTCAATGTAATAAATGTCGAGTTTGGTCAAGATATCTTGAAAACGAAAATGTTTTTTCATACAACGTTATTTTCGACCGCTCGCTCCTATGGAAGCTATATGATATGGTGGGCCGATCTAAATATGATTTCGCCTATATGTGAGGATTATAGTAAAATAAATGCAGACTTTAGTCAAGATATCTTGAAAAACAAATTG